TTGGGGGCAATATGCTGACTCTCTGTAAACCGCTTAGAGAGGGCTGAAAGCCCTATGAAGCGGTATATAAGTCTACTGCTATTGCTATTCTGCAGGGATAATAAATCTGCAAATCTTAAAACTTTTGTTCATTTAACCACCTATTGATAATATAAAAATATTAATTTCTACACACGCTTGCACTGACACTATTTACCAAATACAATCCAGTAGAAAGCTATCATTACTACCTTTCTTCTGCTAAGATGTATGATTTCTAATCAGATACGGCACCCAAACTAAATAAAACAGTGCAGATTTTAAACTGCCATTGTTTCTTACTCTGTTATAAAATGGATGCTGAGGTCCTGTCATTCCACTGTAGTAGCTACTATGGGGTTGTGGTGATACAACTCCTCCGTTGAAAGGTCCATTAAAAGAATGGGTTGAAGAGCAGGCTGACGATGGCTGACTAAATACTGTTGATGCTCTGGGTGCCGCTTCTTGTATAGGCATCGCAGGATATGGAATTGCTGCAATATTAATTTGGTCTCTTGCAGCCCGGACGTCTGAAATATTCAATGCACTAGTATAATTGTCAGAGGAGTTACAACTGAATCAACCAATAAACACAAAATGAACGAATGGATTAATCTGAAATCAAATTTATTGCATTCAATTTTTAAAATAGAAAACTAAAGCTAAATGATAGAAGTCCTGAAAAATTACAGTTAACAGTTTGTAGGTACAAATAGATACATGATCTTTTTTATTTTATTGTTTAATACCATGCAGATCGTTGCAAGTATGAGCTCTCAATTGCTTCACAAAGCATCTCTCCAAAGTAAATAGTAAGTAATAGGAGCCAAGAGGACAACCAAAATGTAAGATACCTATATCATTAATTATTGGAAGGATAATTGTAAATAATGATTGCATAAAGATTTGCTCTGATATATTTCAGTAAGATTTGGGGAACTCAGACAAAGGGGTGATTCTTTGGTAATAGTAAAACATTTATTGTGTAATTAATTGGTGATATATTACCTGCAATAATTTCTCGCAGTTTGGGATCAAGATTTACTGTACATGGTAAAAATATTTTTACATCCCGTGATATAAGGACTGGAGTTCGTGATGACAAAAATACTTCAAAATTTCGAATATCACCATCAATTTCTAGTAAAGGTTCAACATCTTTAGTTGTTGGAATATTCTTTGAAATTCTAAAGAAAGCAAAGAAAGTTCCAGATTAGGAAGCCTTATCTAATACAATTTACACATATATAGTATGTTTTAAATCTGATAAAGAAGTTCATTTCAGAATTCTTGTTTTTCTGCCCTGATATTTTAGAAATTGTATTTGAAATTACAAACAACTATACATGTGAAACCAAGTTATCTATAAATTGAACCTATAAACGGAGTAAAAAAAACCTATATCATCTATGCAATCAGTACCTAAAATTAGTACAAATATAATTAAGTCAGAGAACAGAGTTAAATATGTCAACCATCTGATTTTTGTCAAACAAGACTTCAAAAAGAAAAGGAGCTAAAGACTTTAAATGAAAAACCACAGCTGAGAAGTCACATGAAGCAAATTACTGAATTTTAATGCCAGCTCTGCTTAAAACTGAATGTGAATAGTGTTCTGCGTATGTCAAACAATGCTTCTGTTCAGAAGCCAATAGCCTACGGATAGTTTATACATCAAAATCTCTATGCTAACCTTTTGAGCTTAATACATTAAGCTATTCTGCTAAAAGATATTAATGTAAATTATGAACTTTTGTTGTTGTCTTTTTTAAAGGCCACTTCTGAAAAAAAGAGTACCATGAGTAACCAAGAGACTACTTATAAAAGGATTTAGAGCTGACCTTGGGAAGATATGAGTAAGCTGTTAAGGGAGAAAGGAAAGAACCATTAAGGAGGACTTGGAGAGGAGATTACACAGACCAGGCTTCAAGAAAACACGAGAAAGAAACTCAACATAACTCTACTTTGGTTTTGTTTAATATACGGGGAACAATGAAATCTGAATAAGCTTTCAAGAGTCTACTAATATACCCTACAACCGCAAAGCAGCATTCCTAGGATTCCTATAGTGTCTATTTCTTGACTTGGCCTACCCCAAAGGCCTCACAATACAAGGAAAGTGGCATTAATCACATAAAACCAATCCTCCCAACTCATGAAAACTACCAAGCAAGCACTGACATCTTTAACACCATAATAACACCATAGGTCAGCAATGACCTATGATTATACCTAAGAACATTGAAGATAATGTTTCAGGTAACGAAGTGCATCATAGAAAAGTGAGTACAAAACCCCACAATTCATCCCAAAACTTTAATGATCTCATCAAAGTAGCACAAAAATGAAAATATGAATGGGCAAGGTATGTCATGTGCAGGCATAGCACAGAGGAGCCCGAAAAATGACATACTTGTGGCCCTGCAATTTTAGGGTCTTGCAAGATCCTATGAGATGGGGGCGGGGAGAGAGAAAAACCACGGACTCAGCTGGAACACTACCAATGGCTATATGTAATTCAAATACTTGATATTGTTGCTTCAGGCAGTGAATCTTCATGAATGAATGCAACTGATCTACTTAAGTGTCTACCAACCTCAAACTTCTGAGAATAAAAAAAATAAGAATAGAAGAAAATTACGAACTTCATACAAGATGAACTAGTATGCTGTGTCTGAAAACTGTCTAAATTATCCAAGATAATTGACTCAAGGTTGACTCAGCCTTCCATCCTTCTGAGCTGGGTAAAATGAAGGCCAAGATTATTGGGGGGCAAGAGGCTGACTCTGTAAACCACTTAGAGAGGGCTGTAAAGCACTGTGAAGCGATATATAAGTAAGTGCTATTGCTATTTTTATAATGCCCTACCTATAAACCAATTATTGGATGGTTATGGATATATTCCATCACATCAAATGCACACTACAACCTGCAAAAAAACCTACCAAAAAGCTCACTGTAGGCAAACATGGAATTACAAGTAAATTTAATTGAGGATACTCCTCTGCTGCAGTTTCCGTAATGGTTAAAGAAATTCTATGGTCAATTATCAAATATTGGAAAATAAAAGAACAGGTCTAAAACCATGGATAAATTAAGAATGCTAGTTACTGCAAGGTAAGAAACTAGATATCAGTAGACCAAAAGAAGAAACTAAGGATATTCTGAAATAAAATAAGTAAAATGCATCATGTGCTACACTGTTCAGAAAAAAGTATTATTGATGCTAAAATCAATTTTTAAAATTCAGTAAATACAATGTGGCACAAAAATTAAGTAAATTAGATAGTTATCAGAATATCTGCAAGGTAGGAATTAATGTAAGACATGTCATACCACTAAAAATACTAAAATATAAAAAGAAGAAAGAGTAAAATAGCCCTTCGTATTGTATAGTATTTTGTTGTGTTGTTTTGCGTTGTGTTGCTTTGCATTGTATTCCATATACATACACACATGCATTTTCTCTCTGGTGGCTAAATTAAGCAATTAATGAAAACTGGATGTGTTGGATCTAGTTGAGGAAGAGACTGTGATGAAGAAAAAAAGAAGCTGACTAATTAAAAAGTATACATCCAAATATCAGTGTCTCAATTTTCAGACACAAGCAGAATTTCAACATCACAAATGGGACAGCGAACCAGAGTTTTAAATAAAAGCAGCGAGACGCCTTCTATTTTTAAACCAGGAGAAAGTAGTACAATGTGACTTGATGGTCACAAGAAACAAAATTAAGGCTTAAACCCCGCAGAAATGCTGCCGCGAGAACTGAAATAAGCCGTTCAGGGAAAAAAACCTTTTCCTATCACGGAGTTGATGCCGTTCATCATGGAGGAAAGAATCAAATTTGTTAGAGACTGATCACCAATGTGAGAAACTGATATTACAATTAGGAGAAGTCAGGAAGTATTTGGCTGCAGTTAAAGGTGGTATAAACAGTTACTGAAACTAAGAGATGATTATTTTCCCACAGTGGCACGCTGCATGATTGGATTACTTTTTTATGAGATTAAATGGAAGCAAGCATCTAACTCAAGAGTCGCTTTATATCTCACGAGAACTCAAAGCTCTGAAACATTCGATGGGAAAGACATGCAAAATTCAGAAAATGCAAAAGATGAATAGTTTTTCACTGAACCGTACATATAGTTGGAACTATACTTTTATTATAAGCTGTAAAGTAACTTGAAGGCAAGGAGCAAAGAAAATGAGATTAAGGAAAAAAAATTCCCCTTGGGTTTTACATCAGGTTATAAAATATGGCACATACAAATAAACATTACATCTCCCTACTCCTTAAATAATTGTCCCTGAGAGTGAAGAATTTTTCTCAATTGAAATTATGTAAATAATCGGAAACTCCAACCAGTTTTGGTTCTGTCCACATTGTTTAAATCGTATCAAAATTATTTTAATAAAATTTATGCACTTTCCCATCAACAGTTAAACAGGAAACCAATTAAGTTATCTAAAAAATAGAAAAGCCACTACTACCATCTACTGGAAAGCAACTCATGATATACAGTATCTTGTCCACATGCCCTCTTTTTTAAAAGGTATGCTAAAAAATCTTTTTAAAAAACAGTTTATATAGAATGCATAATTATTACATTTCTAAATACAACACTGCAAAAAATAAAGAAAAATACTCACATTTTCATTTCAGCTTTTTCTGTTATGTATACATTAACAACAACAGCAAAAAAAATCTGGGACAAAAGCTTTTAACTGAACACATAATTGCAGCAAAATTACAATAATTGTCCCAATTAAAGTAACCCTAAATGAACAGTTTGTCATCTTAATGTTCCAATAGTTCATATAAGGATCTACTTAATTAGATGAAATTGCTTTCTAATGTTAGTATCCAGTGTCATTTGTTAAAAGTTGAACAATTTAGAAAATTATTTAACAAAAGCAACTTTCACTAAACACCAAGAACCAACATTCTTTTTTACAGATGAATAAGGCACAGATATGTATCCTCAAATTACTGTAAAAATAAATGAGGTTTTTATGGAAAAATGAACTTTAAATCTGGTGGTAAAAAAAATTTCTGGCTTTGTACTGATTCATATTTAATGAAAATTATATATTTAAACTATCCCTTATTAGTGCAATCCCTTTTCAAATTATAATAAAACAAGAGGATCAAAATGAATTAGAAATATTGCAATTTAAAACCTTATTCAATAGCTAACAGAGCATAAGGAACATATATAAAAACAGCAAATACCGCTTTTGAGAATACACGCACCCACACACACCCACACACACCCCTACATATGTATCCTGTCTTTCAGGAGCAAGCTTTCAAAATAAAAGAGAAAATCACAAATCAAAACATTTTAATATAATCGTTTTGTAATAGAAATGTGCCTGTGAAGTCATTGCATTTTCTTGATAAATTACATGGCAAACATCGTAAGGTTGCACCAAACTTCTTAATGAATATATTGTTATTGTGAAAGCAGTGTTTTCAAGAAATCAACACCTTCTCAGAAATCTAATTAAAATCAACGATTTCTCAGAAATATAATTGTTCAATCTGGATTACTTTGAGTGGGTCTTTGTTTCAACATCAAGAATAGTGATGTCCCCTAAGGTTTAATTATGTGATGTTATTAAGAAGCCAAGTGTTTCATATTTAACCCAAGTGTCACTATATCAGTGGGGCTGGGCAGAACATTTTCAGAGAACTTCAAGCTTTTTATGAAAAGAAAGAAATCAGATAAAAATATTCATTTCATAAGGGTCAAAAGGTGGGCTCATAGACAGCTCCTTCCTCAATTTTGACTTAGCCCTAAATTCATCAATTTGGACTTCTATTATTTCACTTATACTGATAAAGAGAAAAATAACTGAAGATTCCAGTACCAAATTCAGATTGTTACAAACAGAAATAATGCAAATACAAAACTTTAATTAGGCATTAACCTGATAATTTCCCGAAGCGCTATATCCCAAAATATGTTTGTACTTTTTGTTTTCCAAATATGGTGCTATTGTTACAACATTAGAATAGATCTTTGGAGCTACAATCAAATTCTTAGTCAACCATGAAGCTTATTGGGTAACACTGAGCCAAACTTTTATCTCTCAGCCTAACCACTAACATGGGAATACATTCTACCACAGTTTCTTGGATAAAAGACAGAACATAAATAAATAAAATAAAAATCTGTGAAATGAAAACATGAAAACACCAACTGCTTCCAATGCTCAGAATCTCAAAACCTTAAATGTCATGCAGATAAATGTAGATGACATTTAAATGTTTGGTAAATGAAATAGTGTCTCATATATTCCTAGCTGTTCATGAAATATGATGGGTAACAAAAGCCATACTAATCCAGCAACATAAAATTAACGCATTAGCCATCTGTTAACTAAATCACATGCCTCAAGTTATCTCAAAACTGACAAATCTTCTAATGTAACAATTGGACATCAGTAAGCACTCAGCTGTACAGAGTGCCACAGACAGCCTGCTGTTTGAATCTAACGCAGAAAAAGAAAACAGTCCAGAATGTTCCACAAATTGTAAATTTACTTGGTTCACCTTTGGTTTAGGATTTTCAATTTGTAGTTTCCTTGAGTTGTGACATTGCATCTGCATAAGGCATCTCCGTCAGGATCAATATTTTTAATTATTTATAAATTCTAAACCATAAAGGTAACCCTCTACAACAGGGGTGTTAAACTCAATCCCATTGCGGGCAGTATCAGGATTTTGTTTGCCCTTGGGGGGCTGGGGGGGGCATGGCCTGGTCATTATAGCTGACAGGGTGGGCGTGGCTGGGGTGGGACGGGGCGCGGACAGCATGGGCCGGTCCCTCGCCATCTCCAGAACAGCCTCGCGGGACAACTCTGGACCTATCGCAAATTGGATCCAGCCCATGGCCCGCATGTTTGACGCATCTGCTCCACAACATCCTTTTCAGAAAATTTATTTGAGGAGGTATCATAACTAGAATCTCTCTTTTCTGATCTTCCAGATTTTCAGAAATATTGCTAGCTTATATTTTAGAATCAACATTTTATTGTAATGATTGTTATAGGGGGAGGAAAGGAATTTGTCATTATTGTATTTGGTCATTTAAATATTCATAAGTTTTAAATACAAAGTTTACTTGCATTAAATTAGTGTTTCCAACTTTGCTACAGATAACACATAACTTGGACTGTGTTTAAGATTCTCAATGAAAATTAAACCTATCAGTTTTTATTTAATGATTATTTTTTGAGTCTCTGCAAATATAATTTTCTTTTGAACAATGGACATATAGCCATGTTTTGTTGGCTCAATATGGACCTGATACCCTAACAGCTTCTAAAATATCTGATATATTATGAATACTGAAAAATTCAATCCGAACCATTTTTTTCTTCTGTCAAACAGAGAAATGGTAAATGAACGGCTTAAAATACCTGTAACAAATATACAAGAAGCTTATAATCAAGAATTGGAAACTCCAGTCTTTTCAAGCCAACGGAGTCAAGTTTTGAAGAATACTAAGTTTATGATCTGTGATTTAAAGCTGAAATTAAGCTATCAAAATATTGTTTTTCATATCTACATGACACCTTCTTGATGCTTTGTAAAGAATGGACTGATCATTATTTGTGTTGGTGTTGCGAAAAATGTAAAAGCACCCTTACGCGTATGTTATGCTATGTTCTTTTTACCTCTTTTGGGAAAAATATACAATAGGTTCACAGAATTGCTGAGTAAACTGTTTTTAAAGGTACACATATTGAACCGAATTATACATTAACTGCTGGAGAGGGGAAATATTACAATTCCATATATAAAGGATTGTATTTCAGAGAAGTGATTTAGCAATTTTGAGAAAATTGTATCTTTTCTGTTAAATCAGAAAATGTCATATTATTGCCCTCTTTGGGAGACAAATGCACAGGCTCGGGGAATATTGGAAGTTTAACTTTTCTATTTTAAAGACTTATAAATCAGGTGAACTTGGAATAGAATTGCAGTTCCAGACTCTTATTTTTTTTGTTTATGTAATATGCATTTTTCTTCCTCTTCCGTGACTGTTCATTTTTATTTTATGTATTTTTGTTTGAAATGGATTAACAAAACTATTCAAATATTTAAAAAAACAACAAAATTATTTTTTTAAAGTTTGAGATCTGAAATTAACCATACATTTTCTATCAAACTTGTAACAGTATTACATCAGTCTTCTTAATAAAAATAACCAATTACAGCAGTGCCATCTACTGGAAGAAGGAAACTAGTTACAGTTTTTAAAAGATACATGGGATATTCATTATTCATATTTATTTTAAGATAAGTTTCTTTCAACTCAGTGGAATCTTTTGAACAGATATGAATAGGATTGTATTGTATTAAAATAAATCTTCTCAAAAATGAGTTTCCCAGCAATGAAAGCAATGTGGTAGATTCATACCATAAAAATGCAAATACTATTTGTTGCATTTTGGGAACCCTGTTTTAATAGTTCTGTAATTGCCACATCTACAACATTATTATTTTCTTAACCTGTCAATATTTTTTTTACCTCTGCTAGAGAAAAGAAACAAGCTCCATCCAAAGATATCCCCATCCAAAGATATCTCAAGAAAAAGAACTGTCACCAAAATAATTTAAAAATACCGTTAGAAAACTCATGTTAACCCATAACTCACTTGAGCCAAATAAAAATTAATTTTGAGTACATAAATCAAGAAGAAATTACCTGATCAAGTTTAATAAAGTTGGACTAGATATAAGAATCTATCTGTCTAGCTGTATAAACTTTAACAGGCATTTTTCAAGCTTTGCCAGTTTAGAGTCATGCTAAATTATGTTAAACATTTAATTTGGAAATATGACAGCTTCTTTCATTAATGGATTAACAATTTCTTATTTTCCATAAGCATCACAGTATTTGTTTTCCAATCTCTGTGTCCCTCAAAAAGCTAGAAAAAGTGCAGAAAGGGACAGAGACTTAAAACAATTTATCTGGCAGGGGAAAAAAATAAAATGTGAGCCTTAAAGCTAAGTGAAGACAATCAAAGTGTGTAAAATTATATATACACAATATGAAGAAAATGAATAAACAATATTCTTTCTTTCCTACTACACCAAAATCTAGTCAATCGGTGAAATTGACTAATGATAACAAAGAAAGAGCTCCAAAAAGTAATAATTGGAAGACTTAATAAGAGTTGCCAATCTGGGCAACATTTTATGAGGTCCAGGTATTGGTGGCTATCAGCCTGATTTTACACATTAATCTCAGTAGCAATATTCTTTTTAATACCACTTCCTACCTAGGTAATAGAGCTTGGAAGGTTCTCTTATACCAGTGTGAGGTTCTTCTGATAAAATGAACCAAATAAACCTTAGTTTTAACCAGCATGGCTACCTTTTTATATTCTTAACACATAACACAAGTCAGTCAATCCTAAAGCAAATTAACCCTGACTGTTCTTTGGAAGGACATCTGCTGAAGCTGAAGCTCAAATTCTATGGTCACTACTTGAGAAGAGAAAACTCATTGGAGAAGATGCTGATGTTGGGAAAGATTGAGGGCCAAAGGAGAAGAGGACAGCAGAGGATGAGATTGTTAAATAGTGTTATCAGAACCATGAACATGAATCTGGGCAAACTCTGGGACACAATGGAAGACTGGGGGTGGGGGGGTGGG